GAGATGAAGTCCTGCAACACCGACCGCGGGGCGCCGCCGACGCTGCTGAAGCCGCTGCTGAAGCCGCTGCTGCTCATCCTGCTGCTGCGAACGGCGGCGGCTGAGATCGAACACGGCAAGGCGGCCGCCGAGAGGGTTGTCAATGGCAACTACTGGTCACCGGTAGGTACCAGCAAGTGGCGCGTCGAGCTCACTCGCCTGGAACGCAATGCGTGCAACCCGTATCTGAGGGACCTGGAGCGGTACCCGGGGAGATTGTAGCCCCACCAAACGGAGCCACATGGAGATATGCATCGCTTTTGGGCCTCGGTTCCTGCATTGGCTGTAATAGATCAATGACAGCACAAAAGTCAATAAGTCGCGACAATCAGACAAATCTCTCTCTCTCTCTCTCTCTCTCTCTCTGCCTCTCTTCTCTATCTCTCTCTCTCTCTCTCTCTCTCTCTCTCTCTCTCCTCTCCTCTCTCTCTCTCATCTCGTCCACTCACTCCTCTCTCTCTCTCTCTCTCCTCTCATCTCTCTCTCCTCTCCTCCCTCTGCTCTAGTCTCTCGACTCTCTCTCTCTCGGTCTCTCTCTCTACGTCTACATCCTCTTCTCGCTCGTCATCCTCTCTCTCCTCTCTATCTCGTCTCTCATCTCGCTCCGCTCGCTCTCTCCTCTCCTCTCTCTCTCCTCCTCCTGTTAGTTTTCTTAAAACAACACATGCTGACATGCTGACACAAGCAACATCTGTGTAGCAAAAAAATTAAACGGTGATTTGTATCTCAAGAGTATCGCAAATCGGTGAGTCGATGATACCGCTCACACATACGTACTGCTAACGACAGAACTTCAACGACACTGACGGTTCAACGATGGTATTACTTCTAATGCATAAATTTACGCACGACAGAACTTCTAACGCAAAAACTCCTGCGTGCCATTACTCCTATGCGACATAATTTCGATCACAAAAGCTTCTGCGCGCCACTACTTCTAACGCAAGAGCACGCGCACACATAAAGATAAACGTGTCCATAAATCATGCATGTCTGCATGCGTGCCAAATTGCAAGGTCTGCGCACATGCAGTCGCCTGCAATTAATTGTTACGACAATGATTTAAAATTTTGGAAAGCTGATAAATGCCCAGCCATATGGCGTAAGTTGTGTTTGATTGTATCACATGAGCTGTTAAATCGGGAGGCATCATCCCAGTCAGGAGCAGGTAGAAAGGGCTCTGGGCTGTTAAAGCTCCCTTCGTGAATCGGGGACCCCTCAGGCGGCCCTTCAGGCCCAGGAGGCTCGAAGTGCCGACCGGGATTTGAGGTTTTTTTGGTTTTTCTCTGAAACATTTTGGGCTCCGGCTGTCGGTCGGAGATCCAAGAAGTGAAGAGGTGACCCCGATACTTCACAGGGTATCAGTGCTGGGCGGCTTCCTATATGCCGAAAAGGACCCGTACTAATACCAAGGATAGACCCAAAGTTTGGTCATCTCCATGGTGCGCTACTGCGTATCTATGTGCGGAAGCGCAAACCATTCAAACATGAAACAGGTCCAGTCAATTCCACATTTTTGTGCGAAAGTAATATCAGGACAACGGAGCTTCGACCATCTTTTTCACCTGACCAACCAAAACCCAGCCCTGAGCGTGAAACGGCTGGCGTGTTACCACAACGTAACCCTTCTTCACGAGATTTGGAGCACGGGGCACAGCTTCAGATCTTCAGAGCTTCAGAGCACGAGACAACCATCAGCACTGGCAAATATACTTGGCACAAACATCGCCACGACAGGAAGACGCAGCCGCCAGTCACACGACGTCGAGCTGTCTACGGCGCGTCAGAGCAGTGACAAATGGCGGCTATTTATCAGGCTCCGGCCGGCTACAACCTCCTGCCACATTGCGTGAGGGTGCTTGACCGCTCATGCTTTGCTGTCACAGTTAAGCCATAGTTTCTACATGCCATCGGGGCGTGCGCACACGTTTTTAATTGAGGTTAGATGTGTATGCCACTTGTTGAATGAATGAGCGTTTCTATACCCTAGAATGTTTCCAGACGTGACGTGGCATAGTCGTAGCCGAGCGTGTATTTAATCTGTTTATATAGTGCATGATGCATTGGAATGTGCTACAGCGTGAATACGTACCTGCATACACATCAGGCGTCGCTCAGGGGCCTATGATTGATTTATTAAGGGGCCCCTCTATCGGCCAAGGAGCCCCGGTAATGAGCAGGAGACTGAACAGGGGATCTGTTCCTTTGCCGGAGATCTGCGACACGGAACAGCAGATCCACGGCATTGAACAGGGGCTCCGTGTCCGGCCAGGACCCTCATCAGCCGAACAGGGGTAGAGCCATGACCCCTGGGTTCCAGTCGCAATGTCTCCTTTTGAGTTACTTGGAGAACCCCCGAGACAATGACGGGTCTTTTGGTCAGAGGCCCCGGCACTGGACAGTGGCCTCGGCCAGACAGGGTCCCATCTGTAGAATAGGGACGGCCAAGGTCCCATAATATCAGGCCAGATAACCTTATTCGGCGAAGCTCTGGATTCTTGAGGAATTGGAGGAATCCAGGGATTAGGCCGGGGTCCAGTACTGAACAGGGGAACACCAATGCTGAACAGGGGCTCTGATAACTGAACAAAAACAGAACCATGGTCCTCGAATGTCAATAATGGGGTCTGCACTTGTTCCACTCGGAGGACCCAAAGATAAAGGGGACCCCCTCTCTTGACCCAGGGGTTCCACAGTTACTCAACATGGTCTCGCGTACCATACCAGACAGAGGTTTCAGTTTCAGCCAGGTGTCGCATGAGCCGAATAAAGACGATATAAGGGCCCAACAATGTCGGTCATAGAGCTCCCTGTGCCCCTCAAATGGTCTTGAGGTAGGGGTGTAGTTTCCTCGTCAGATGGGTGGGACTCAGCTCCCTTCACCCCAACCACCACCAAACTTTGGTTACAGCCCCTCAGACCTGGAGAAGAAAGTGGGCCACATTCAGAGAGAACCCTGTTTGTTGGTGTAAGCTGGGGGTAGGTTGTGTCACTTTTAATTGTTCATCCCCTCCAACTCATTTTACGGAACTCGCTGCAGCCTTGAGGTAATGAGAAGGCCACGCTGTCGGACAGGGCCCCCGGCGCTAAACGAAACGGTCATATTGGGGAGCCGATTAGGGACTTGCAAGTCAGTGGGTCTTTTGGCAAAACTGGGACAGGTCCAGGGGCCCGGAATGTTAGTCAGAACACCGCAACACCTCTTGGAAACCCCTGAGACGATGAAGGAACTGACCTATTTGGTCAGCTCGTGGCTCTTACCTACTGGTAGATCTACCAGTCCCAGGCCTCTGGTATTGGTAGTGAGCAGAGAACCCGGGTATGGAAAAAGCGGCCCAAGCCTTGCAGAGATTTGACCTTGACCTCGAGGCCTTGAGAAAGCACTGTCAGGGAGAAAGCCTGAGGTTCGGACTTCGGAACTCACTCCCCGCGCCCCCAGTGGAAACCCATCTAGGTAATTCGTGGTTGAAGCTCTTGCGTAAGAAAGTAATGAAGGATGTCGTGTGGAAGTATTTGCATAAAAAGTTTTGTCACGCAGAAAATTATGCTTTCGATGCTCTTGCATTATAGATAATGTAGAGTAGCAGTTCTTGCGTTCGACGCTTTGTCGCTTGGAAGTAATGTCGCGTAAAAGTATTCACATTTAGAAGTCATATCATGGGAGGTTATTCGTTGGCAATACTTGCGTTGGAACTTTTGTAGTGCAACTATACAAATCACTCTGAGTCTCTTCACTAATCCCACCTTACAATCCTCCGCTGCCTTGTTAGAAGTCAGAAGAATGCGCCTCCAACGACGCACAGCATGTTTGTGCCTGCGCTCTCCAGAGTGTGCTAGCAGGCAAGATGACATCCTCTCGGCACAACCTGTCTCCTCCCATCAGCCTCACAAAAGGCTTTCGCGACTTTTCTACGGCTTGCCATTAAGCGCACTGAAAGCTTCGGTGGTTGGAGCTACTGGTGGAATTCTATCTATTCTTCAGCCCGACTCATTCGGCGAGTCTCAGAGATGGTGGAAATCAGTAGCACGACGCATTTTTCGCAGCGTGTCAGTGAATGCGTGATTGTGTCACCAGTGGACATCTGTGCCACGCCAGCCACGTTAACTTGAATGTCTAGTACACGTTTAAGCTCAAGAAATTATTTTGGAACCAAAGGCATTCTGTCACTTGAACTCCGTCAATGTTATTTATCTGGACCAGTTTTGCTATGCTTCGTAATTGGTTCGCTCAGGCTGAACTGTGAAATCGCATTAATACGGTAGAATGGAGACAAACTCCACCAGGCTGGATCGTACCCAATTGGATTCCGGGATGGTAGAAAAGGCAGATTGGCGGTTCGGACCGTGGACTTAGTTTATGCGGCCAGACCGAACCAGATTCTGAAAATTCAAGCTGTCAAAAGCCCGGTTGAGATTAGCATATCACATCACGATTCAGTTTCTTATACGAATGGCTATTTGCTATCAAAAAGATCGTTAAGTTAAACAATCTTCAATCAATTCATGCGTGCGGCAACCGTCAATGTATCCTCCGCTTTAAAAATAACTTGATCTAGGCGATCCAGTGAGTGAGCCCATGACGCGTAGCAGCATGGGGAGGGCTGCTGCAGCTGGACATGTCAATCAAACCCAGTTTAGGAACAGATGTCCTGCCATCGGTTAAAAACGGAGGCCTCCACTGCGCCCATGTCAAAACGCCCCCGCGCCGCGCCGGCACGTGCTGGTCTCTCCATCCCCCGTGACGCACGCGGCGCCGCGCTGGCGTCCGCGGAGTGCACAAAATAGCCGCCGGGTCGAGCTGGCCGACTGGCAGAGCGAGGGTCGCGCCGGACCGAGCTGGCCGGCCGGTAGACGGCCGCGCGCGCCGTCACCCCCGGCGCAGGGTCCCGGGACACGTGACGCAGGCCGGCAGCCGTTGTGACGTCACGTGACCGGGGCTTGGCGCGCGCGCCGCCGCGGCGGCGGGAGGGACGGGTGGGGGGGGGGGGGGGACGTGCGTTCCAGCGGGACCAGCCGGGAGTCGCATATCCTGTATGCAGCCGGGCTGCAGAGACGACCGAAAATAGCTCGACGTGGCTCTGGAAGCGTTTGGTCTGAGATTGCAAGCATTTTTTCGGTAGTGCGACGCCTGAATGAGCAATACCCGCGTGACACGAACGGCAACGTGATGGCCGTGAACTCTTGACATATCCTGCCGATCTCCATATCCGCTCAGATCATAGGGAAAACGTGATCTACAACAAGATCACCAGCGGCCTGATCAAACCAACGTCAATCGCTGCACGCTGATCGACAAACGTCTATATTGAGCATGGTGATTAGTGTTTTTCAGGTACCTTGTCAACAAAAGTCATTTCGCGCTCATATCCACAACCAGCCGAGCGGCTAAGATACGGGAGCTTATTACGCAGCGGGTAATGGACCGGAGATGACCAGCTCCCTGGAGGTGTGCGCACAGGGTTGTCAGTTTCCAGATTTGGCTGGGGGCTGAATCGATAAAGTTGATCCAGCCTACCACCATAGCCTGATTTTTATCCGGATTTCGGCTGAAATTTGCGTCCCCGATGACGCAATCATTTTTCTAAAAAATATTTCGTGGCGTTACGAAATTGTCTTGCTGCGAAGGGACGGCTTCCAACTTCAAGGTGATGTGAAGTCACAGTGTCGTGAATAGCTTAGAATGGTACATATAAATCAATGAAAAACATCTTAATAATCCGAGCCCTTTTGGCAACCCTGCCCCGACATTAGGAAGAAGGCATTCGGCGTCTAAACTTTCAATGTCTGAAATGCTGCTTCGCTGAGGGTGGGGGACTTGGCGACGATGAACTATTTCAAGGCGCTATTCGGCGTTTGAGGCGTTGCTGTGTACTGCACCCTTGAAATTTGAACTATCTCTCCATGACCGAGGACGCGATAGCACGATGACAGACAAACCTCAAAGGGTCCAGTCCATACCGGTCATCTGGCCTCCATAATCACTTGGTCTATATTGCACTGCACCCTACCGCGGCACATGACCTGACCTTAGGTCGGATACTGGCGTATTCATAACCAGTCAGCGCAACAACAGGCTTCGCAGTAGTTGCCGTTCAAATGTAAGCACATACTCGGGCAGGGATCAAACTGCCCCCTGAAAGGGGTTTCCAAACGATTTCCGAGCGGTTCGGTGTAGCCGCGCCTGACGTTGCGTAGCTGTAGAGCATTGGACAGCGGATCTTTTTATGCAGGAAAGTAGATGTTATAGACCTAAAATCAGACCTTGCTAGCTCGCAAACCTATGGCAGGTCAAAGCCAGGCCGTGACGTCAGCGAAAGGCATTTCTAGGGAATCGATCAATGTGATGCAACGGCAGAGTGCTAACCGAAGCCATACGTATGTGAGATAGGTTTTTAGATACTAAACCAATTGAACTCACAATTACAACCAATTTCATTGGCCTAGGGTGAGGTATGAGGCTGAGAACGAGGTCGAATCTAATCTGTTTTTTTACTCGAAAGCTTGGTTTTATGAAGTAAATTCTGGTACTCATTTCGGATCGGTTAATGACAGAACAAAACAGGCATATTCCAAGATCTTTTTAAAGGTTGGTGTAGGTCACTGACCTAGAATGACATAAGTCAGGATTTTGTTTTTAAGAACATACCGCCTAGCGTAATCGCTAATGCTTATTCCAATGGCAAAATAGGAGCAATCTCGCAGGTAATTGGTCACCTTGACCTAATAACGGTCAAATAAGGTCAATCACCTCATCAGACCTCTGCTTAGAACGGGTATCTAGCCTCACAGTGGTTGCACAAGGAGGTGTGGGAGCAACTGAGGCACCAATATAGAGCTTGACCTTGTTTGACCTTATCAGACCCCAAGGTCATTACCCAGGAACCTCAAATCTAGGCAAAGGTGAGTTCACGTATACGTCAATCTGTTCTGTGAATTTGGTGTTTCTGGCTTTCTTAGTTGTTTTTTTAGAGCTCGGGGGGGGGTAAATTGACCCCCACCGAGCGAGGGGCAATCAGACGGCTACAGGGCGCGCGATAAATCGAGCGGACCTGCTGAGAACGCGACGCCGGCCTTGGCGTCGCGTTTAGCAAACCTCACCGTTGCAGGGCCTCCAAGTGCACAGCTGCACGGACAGGTAATGCGTTAACGCAACTGCCTCGCTCCCAGCTTAACTTCAGACAATGATCCTCACACTAAGCAATACACTGTCATGTCCTCGCATTCAATAATTCCCATATCACTGCTCCAGACGATCTGGCTGTGCTGTTAATGTCAAGATCAGCAATTAACCGTTACTGGGTCCGTGACAGCGGCACCTGCTACAAAAGCATTTGCACGCGAGTCATAATTCACCGCGAACAAATCATTTCCCGGCCAATTTGATAGTGGTTTTTAAATCAAGTTGTGAAAAAAGGTAATGACTCCTATTCCACAAGAGAAATACACAAATCGTTGAAAGAAGGCGTACTTCCATGGAAAGTGGCTTTAGTGCATACAATGCTACAAGCACTACACCCACTTCGAGCAGGACTCAGCCAACATCACCATAACTCTGTGCTCCAGTTTGTCCCGACGCAGCGACTGTTACGACCACCGGCGTCACGACCTTGCAAGCCGCGTAGCCGTAATGGTTACAGTGGAATAACCAGGCGCCGCGAGGAATTTCAGCTTTGGGTTCTCGATCCAAGCTTCCTGCCCGCTGTTCATTGTGTAGCTAGATCATTCATATATGAACTCTTTCACCGCCTTTCATTCACATTTGGACTCTTCCACTGCCATTGCTTCGCTACAACAGCGTGACGCGTCGCTCTGCAGTACTCACAAAAATCGAATCTGACACCATCACCATCCTCACCAGTCGGCTTACTGACCCCTCTCTTACAACACAGTGCACGGCTGCCCAACCTACAGGTCTTCACAGTGTTTCGTTCCCACAGCTTCACCGGCCCCGCGCCCGCGCGCGCCGTTAGGCATGCCCTATCACACGCCACACCGGTGCCGCCCCCATCGGATGGGCCCCTCGCGTGAGTTATCTCCGCCATCATGGCTCGAGAGCGGCGGCTGCGCGCGAGTCGGGTGTGATGCCGAGCGCGTGCGGGTATGCCGATGACTACAATCAGCGCGCTGGGTACTGGGTCACAGCTCATTGCGGGGTCACGCAGCGTCGGAGAAGATGTCAGGACTTGCTATGAAGGTGGAGCATCGTGGATATGTTTGAAAGCTTATTTGCACAGCTTGATCGTCGATCGACTGATCAGGCGATCTCGGCAGCTGAGTGGCGTGACGTGTTTCAGCCATCACAAACCAGCGTTACGAATGTGACCAGCCAGCGTGCGAGAGGGCAAAACAAATACTCTCGCCTTTCTGAAAGGATAGGTCTAAAACATCCCTGTGCTGAACGTTTGAAGCAGAAGTGCAAGTGTATCATGCACACATTGATTATGTATGTATTATGATTTCAGCGTGTACGTCTTCTGCAAGTTAGCCAACTCGGTTATCACATTACACTTATGATCGGTTTATCGGTTCATCACATATTTGGCGTTAATAAAAATAAACGCATTTCGCCTTGAAACCATGCTGCAACTGTTCGGTCATTTTAATCGTTCACCCAACCGACGATTTAGCCCTACATAACAATGCATCTTCAGAACAAAAGAACATTGTAAGCGGCTGACATGAGGCTGCATACAGAAATAGTATCATTATATATGGCTATGATGCAAATTACCCGGGCAACGCACTGAGAAACGCGGATGATATAGAGGCTGCCTCTTCGAAAATGTGCCTGCGCTGTTTAAAGAAACGCAGAAGTCCATGTATTTTGCCACAACTGCGCCAGATTTGAAACAGTTCAGCGGCCATGCTCCTGAGCTAGAGACTGCATAATACACCCACGTGTTTTGACAATCTTTCTGAAATCACAACCCATGAGATGAGTCCATCATTATATGGGCCAAATTGGAATTAAAACATATCCATTAAATGGAAATACATGTTGTTTTCATACTAACCTTTGCAAGGCTTAAAGGGCTTTTTTAAAAAGTTCTCGGTTCCGAAATTCTCTTGTAAATAAGCAGTCCGGGGCAAGCCTGTGTACTGGCGGCGACGGATGTCTAAGACCATCCGCCAAGGACATCAGCGACGCCCGAGCGCCGCGTCTCTGATTCCCCGGCGACCCTGACCTCCCTGATCTGACCTCGCCTCTACCGCAGGCGTGCCCGGCCGAGTTCCACAAGGCATGGTCGGCACAGAACGTGGCCAGCGTCTGCTTCTACGTGAGCTCGGTCAAGCTGGACTGGCACGCCGCCCGCACTGCCTGTCACAACCTGGCCGCCTACCGGTCCCGCTGTCACGGCGATCTGGCCAGCGTGCTCAACACCGGCGAGAGCGACTTCGTCCGCTCGCTGATGAGTGAGTACCACCGCTGGCACGTGCCCGGGTATACGCCCGTGGCCGGGTAAGTAGCTGTACTTGGGTACATACCTGTATCCGGGTATTTGCACCCGTGCCTGGGGACATGCACATTCCCGGATACCTACCCATAGCTGGGTGCACAACCATATCCGGGTTTCTACACCCGCACCCGAATGCATACCCGCACCTGAGTCCACAGTCGCACGCGGTTAATTGCAATAGGGCGCACAACGGACGCGGCCGTACGGCCTTTCGCGGTGCGCCAGCGGTCACCAACGATATAGTGCCCCAGCGACGATAGCTTCGGCCGGTATCGAAGCTCGGACATGCCCTCCTCGGGTCCAGGACCCTATCAGCTGAGCTCTAATAGCCTTGCGTGCCTTGGTCCGACGTCTTTGTTAGGGAATTGCCAGAATATAACACCACGGCCTCCGAGTTTTGTAAAGCACGTTTTCAGCTGGACCGACGAAGAGTGGTCTATTCTTCCTTGTCACTGCTTTCGGATGTTTATGCCGGTCAAAAGCTAATATTAGTCCAAAACCATCACAGTGAGAAATGAAACAATATTTCGTTGCTTCTCCTAAATTTTACAAGCCACTTCTCTCCCATGGGTGGATTTAATATTCCGTGAACGACCAGCGCCTTCTATTTCGTTCCTCCTAAGATTAAATGAATTAATTTTGGTGAAGATATTGCCGTTTAGCTGTGTTGAAAACTCAATCAGCACCTGTTGCGTAATTACCTTGCAACTCGTTTGACGATACCTTTACGGGAAACTTCGCTGGAAAAGATGGAACCCAAAATAAGCTGAGTTGAAACGGTCCACTCGCAATCCGTGCCATCTTGACGTTCTCAACTCATCCCCGCGTTCCATTTTCACCATTCCATTTCCATTTTCCATTTCACCATTTCACATGCATTCAGATCACCCTAACCGTTTGCACCTGTCAGAAGGCGAATTAAACAACAGCTGACTGATGGCACCATGCTTGCGTGACAGTGACTGACTCCGACCCCGGCTGACCTGACCTGACTGCTTCCAGGTCAGCTGCAGGTCAACGACCATGCCTGGATAGGCTACAACGATCTATCGTGGGAGAACTCGTTCCGCTGGACCGATGGTCGCCAGGGATACTGGACGAACTTTTACCCGGGCGAACCCAACAATGGCGGCGCATACGGCAGCGAGCACTGCGTGGAGGTAATGTTTCGTCGGGTCAACAACAGATGCCGCCCTTGTAAAGCTGCTGAATGTAGCGTAGTGTGCCGTTACATAGGTGAGTAGTGCTTTATTTTCCTGGGGGACAGCACGCCCCCGTCAAGCCTAGGGTGGTGACCACACTGGTCAAAAGGTCACTAACAACACAAGATACCGCAACAATCTTCTTTATTTTGAGAGATGTGGCCTCTAGTTCCAATCAAAGCCGTAAGGGGCCGCCTTTGCGTTATAAGTTCTGCTCTGAACAAGGCTGCTAAGGAGTGAGGGCTGATCACAAAGCTTTTCCAGAGGCTGATAACACGGGGGGGGGGGCTGCCTCGGAACACGATATTCATATCGGATGGACGCGAGGCGAAACATCCACTCCACTCCCACTTCTCTTCACTCTCACTGCTAACCACTCAAAACAGCCGAATTCGCTCCCGGTTCATCACTTCCCTCTTTTGGCTTTCACCAAGAACAGACCTCCAGGTGTGACCTGCGACCGAGCGGGGAGTAGCCGACTCAAGTCCCGCAGTGGGGGGCAGACGCCACGTCTCGAGACATGCGGGGCAGCTACGTCCCGGGGTCTGCATCGTACGGGGCCTGCCTATTTTGCTGGTTTGCCTCAAGTCTCTGCGGCATGGGTCGACTAGAAACAAGACACTACTGCCTTGGCGCTACAAGTGCCAAGGCAGTAGGCACTACAAATGCCAAGGACACCAAACAAGGTACTACTGCCTTGGCGCTACAAGTGCCAAGGACAGCAGGCACTATAAATGCCAAGGCACCAAACAAGGCACTACTGCCTTGGCGCTATAAGTGCCAGGGCAGTAGGCACTACAAATGCCAAGGCACCAAACAAGGCACTACTGGAACAGGTCACCTCATATTAGTACCGATCTCTGCTGGCGCTAATAAGCATAGATCATGGTTACCTCATATTTATACCAACCTCTGCTTGCGCTGATGGGCATGGATCACGGTTGCCCCATATTAATACCGATATCTGCTGGCGCTAATCGACATGGATCACGGTTACCTCATATTAATACCGGTCTCTGCTTGCGCTGATGGGCATGGATCACGGTTACCTCATAAGCGATGGGGCAGCTCGCCGCCAGCGTAATGACGTCACGCCCACGTGCGCCTGCAGGTAATTTTACCTGTCAGCTGCCAGGGTTATTGGAAGCGCGAGGAAAGTGTCGAGAAGCCCAAGTTTCCAGAGTGCTTAATTGACACGCGTCAGGGTGGCTCGTTGAATACCCTTTGCTCGGGTGGGAGGTCAATTTGACCCCTGATATCCCAAAAACTAAGAGAGCTAGAGACAGTAAATTCATAGGGTTGGTTGATCTGTATGTGAACTTAATTTCGTTTTAATTTGAGGTTCGTAGATCATGAACTTGAACATGAACGATGCCATAAGCTTTACCTTCGCTGAAAGTCACGGCCTAACTTTGACCTACCACACATCAGCCACCTTACTAGGGTACATTAAAGTTTTTATACCAAATATCCGCTGTTCAATTGCCTACAGTTATGCAGCATTTGACACGTGACGCTACACGTTAATCCTTCACACACGTAAATTTTTCCGCAAAAACCTTCGAGTGGTCAAATTGACCCCCCGCAAGGGTGCGTGTTAGTGTATGCCTCGTCCGAGGCGCGGCATATTCTGCGCAGATTTACAAGTGAACGACTGGTCATGATATCCTAATCCTAAATTGTCCATCAAGAAAGTGTCCATACGTTGTCGTACACATTCGACGGCCGTTTCTTGCATCGTCATATTATATTTTTGAACTTTGGAGAAGCGGCTGGCTCTAACCAGCTGAGCTATCCGTTACGATAGCTCACATGGCTTAAGCCTTCCGATCCACCTACCCGTGGTTGAAACGTCTCGAGTCGCCTTAGACACTAGCTATTCGCCCTTGACCGGAATGGCCAGCGACCGGTGGCAACGGTCGCGTTAGATGGCAGGTGACGGCAGAGGGTAGGACAGACCGTCCCGAGTGTCGCATTGCTTAAGCATTCGCCCCCACATTCTGCCGTCGACCGGAATTTTACGATCGGATGTTGGGGTCAGGGGTCACGCATCAAGCACTGCCTAGCGCGTGCTGTGGTCCCAGAAAAGTGTCCATTTAAAAATTCGGACTGAGCCTTAAATTGTGATGGCTATGCCCCCATTCTTCCCATTCAAGCGTCCATAGAATGTCCACTTTCCTGGCATATTCTGAGGCGAGAGTAGAATTAGTGTATCCATCGAGCAATCAGTAAACGCTCTGGTTCATCATTTCATCGGAGGGAGCACGGTGTAGAAGCGAGGCTACAAAGCCATGCGATTCGGTCGGGAAATTAACCACGCTGGACGGACCGTGACAGCTTGGTAAGGCATGCGCATATGCCAGTTGAAATAACTTGCATATTGTTCCAGCCCCACCATTCATTCTAATCTGACACGCGTCTCTAAACCGGTTTCCATATGCAAACATCATGTCCAAAAGCGTGCTTCAACAAGCAAGGGCTTATACAAACAAGAGCGCGCCAGTCTACCGCTCGGTTCCGCATCTTTGGACGCTGTATCCAGGACGGCCAGCGGGCGCCAGTCTCCGACGACGCCTCGGGCCACTGAACTGGCTGACCTCCGACCTCGCACGTGCTGCCGTCGATCATCCCGCCGCCCGTGCCGGCTTAACAGCGGTGACGTCACTAATGGCGAGCTGGCTTTGCGGTAGGGGAGCAGATTTCGCGACCGAAGCTCCGTTTTAGCGCTTAATGCTAAAATTAATACACACCGCGGGCGCATTTGGCTGTTAGTGCTCCCACGGAGTGGGCACGCAATTTTACCCAGAAATGGTGCAGCAAACCTGCCAGATATTTCACCTGCAAATCATTTCGCAGCGGTCGCAATAACAAGCTGCGTTTAAGTGCTGGCATTCCAGAGCACACACTGTGAGCGCACTTGGCTGTTCATTTCTCTCACGGGGTGGGCACGCAGTATTACCCAGAAATGGTTCATCAAGCATGCCGAATATTTCACTCGCAAGTCACTTACGGAGTCGCTACAAAAACCACGAAATAACGATCGGTACGTACGGAGCTGAAATGGCAAATACCGCCGCAGTTTCCGCAAGCGTTGCGATGGTTATCGTCACGTGTTTCCGTTCGTATTTCGACCCCTGTGACATCTTTCAGTCAGCCGCACCGAGGTTAATGTATTGCAGCTGCAAGATTTACACCACGGCTTTTGGGTCCGCGTATGACCGTTTGGAGCAAGGCAATTTCATACCTTTAAGTGAGTCACAAATCACCTCCCATTTTCAACGTGTAGTAACCATGAGTTACGGCTGGTTTTGAGGAAATGCTGGCAAGATCACATATTTCACGACTGCTAAAACGCCAAAAAGCATTGCGTGCGGCCAAAGCGTGGACAGCCGTCGATCGAAAGCCAGCCTTCCGTCTTGCTGTAGTTTACGTATTCAGATAAGTAGCGTCCGCGTCTAATGAAATCCCCATTCGGCGTCCCCCCCCCCCCCCCCTGCCATGCCATGAATTATGGGCACAGCCTACAGCGCGCCCGCCACTCAGCCTTTACCATGCTTAGAATCAGCCGATTGACGTCGTAAGCGACCAATGAGAAACGCGCTGACGCTTGGCGCCCTGTTCTATTTCAGCTGATGAACGCGCTGAACGGCCAATGGAACGACCGCGACTGCAGTCACCAGAAGTATTACGTCTGCAAGGCATACTGCGTCTAGCCGCTCGGCGGCCTCCGCTTCGGCGAGTGAGACGGAGGCGGCTGCGAAGCACGACACGCGTCTGGGCTGGAGCCGACGGATTCCTTGTCACGAGACGGAGGCGGCTGCGAAGCACGCCCCGCGTTTGGGCTGGGACCGACGGATTCCTTGTCACGGGACGGAGGCGGCTGCGAAGCATGCCCCGCGAGCGGACTGGATCCGACAGATCCAGCATCCCAACAAGCCTGGCAAGGGCGTAGAATGAGTCGCATTCAAATGATAGATAGGAAGCAACAGTCGGAATAAAACACTTTGCAAAGGAGTTTCACAAGCATAATTCACCCATATGCATAGACCTCAGGGTGAAGTAGCACGCGTAGTTCGATGAACTATGTATAAGTAATTAACTGTGCGCCGTGCGACTAAAACTGGCCGATGATTGCGTGCGAAGCTTTTGAAAAATATCATTAACATGTTTAACTGCCAGTTTTGTTGCCTCCGCTGCGGGTCCGACAGGTTGTCATGGCAACCTATGCGCTCCGCGAGCTATGACCAAGCGCAGATGTCTCGCGATCACAGAGCGGCGGAACAAACCCTGAGCGTGACCAAGCGCAGATGTCTCGCGATCACGAGGCCGCATTCAAGGCGCTCAGTCCGCCAGGCTGCGGCTGCAAGTAGTTCTTTGAATAGTTCATAAGAACTCCACGGGTTCGCAACCTAAGGAAACAGCTGAGAGATAGCAGTTCAAGTGTAAGTTGTGATACTGACACAGAACAGTCATGGCTATTTCGTCGGCTGGTGTCGCATACGGTGTTGCGACGTTGCAGCTCATTGCAGCTAGTGTGACGCCGGTCCACTGAAGACTAATGTGACGCCGGTCCACTACAGATTAATGTGACGCCGGTCCACTGTAGACTAATGTGACGCCGGTCCACTGTAGACTAATGTGACGCCGGTCCACTGTAGACTATTGTGACGCCAGTTCACTATAGACTAATGCGACGCCGGTCCACTACAGACTTATGTGACGCCGGTCCACTACAGACTAATGTGGCGCCGGTACACTGTAGACTAATGTGACACCGGTCCACTACAGACTATTGTGACGCCGGTCCACTGTAGACCAATGTGGCGCCGGTCCACTGTAGACCAATGTGACGCCGGTCCACTACAGACTATTGTGACACCGGTCCACTGTAGACCAATGTGACGCCGGTCCACTGTAGACTAATGTGACGCCGGTCCACTGTAGACTAATGTGACGCCGGTCCACTGTAGACCAATGTAACGCCGGTCCACTGTAGACTAATGTGACGCCGGTCCACTGTAGACTGATGTGACGCCGGTTTCCTATACAAGGAATCGCCGCTTTGTTTGCACCGTAACAAATCGCCATTATGACCAAACGCCAACTCAACAACACACTCATGCATTTCAAAACAGTGCTCACAATAAATGAGCAGCACTGATGCTGGCATCAGAGATAACCTCGAACACTGCGGCTTTTTTATGATGTGACGCTGGCTGCGGAGCATCGCGTCTGCCCCATGAGTCCGAGCCTTCTCGGGGCTGCACGCTGTCGGTTTTATTCATTATGAACGCTGCCTGCAGTTACGGCCGGTCTCTTGATGGGAGTACGGGGTATATGATAGCGCTCCATATGTAGAAGCAGCATTAAATAAAGTCCGCTGTATGAACACTGGGCGTTATTTGGGATATCTATGAATACATCTGCGAAACAAAGCCGGTATAACCATTGCATGCCGCCTTCACTGACTAGTGGCACGAATACATTGCACACATCAGAGAAAAAAGCGATCGCTTCCAAGACTGCGCGTTCGTCTAAAGTGACCCTATGGAGCCAGCCGACCCAAAACGAGGCAGCTCACTTTGGTTCCAGTCCTCGATACGAACAGCTTGCCTTGTGTGCACTGACAACGCCACACCTATGGTTCGAACCGGAATTCGATGCTTCCCAAGTGTACGGGCCACGTACTTGCGTATCCGTAAGTCTGCCGGAATCCGATGCTTACCATTTCCCACGTGCCTTGCAATCGGTGGTAATCCACCGCCCACGGTGACGCTTCCCAAAGCCGCAGCGCGTCTGTAACGGCGAGCTGTGCGAGCTGTGACCTGCCGCGGCCCTGCCGCGGCGAGCTGTGACCAGCAGGGCCCGGCCCGAGCCCGCGCCCGCCGGGTCGGCGCACCCCACCTGACGAACCGCCAGCACGGCCGGCCGTCGTTGCCGCCTCCCGGCCGGCGGGGGCGAGGCCCGGCGAGGCCCGGCGAGGCCCCTGGCCCGGCGTCAGAGCCGATCATAACGTCGGCGGGCGGACAGCGGCGACGACAGCGGCGGCCGCCTGCCGCTGCCCGGCCATGATAAGCGCCGGCTGCGCGGACCTGATCGCGGGCCAATCGCACCCACCCCGGCAGTGGCCCGGGTCACTCACGGACACGGGCGCGCCCAGGCAGGCAGATAGGGGACGGGAGAGCTGGAGGCGGAGGCGACCCAGAGAGACAGATAGGGGAACGGAATGGCGGGGAGGCGGGGCGTATCCAGGGAGGCAGATACGGGGAGAAAGACGGCGGGGAGGCGGGGGCGCGCCCAGGGGGCAGATAGGGGAGACGGAAGGGGAAGCAGGGGCGCACCTAGGGAGACAGTACCCCACTTGTCTCACTGGTCGTCGCTCCACCAGCGTGGGAAGTCGCGATTCCTAACAATTAACAATGAAATAGGGGCGTGTGCAGGGTTCACAGCATAGGACATCCCCCGGGAAACATCATACCAATACAAAATCCGTTTGCTATGCGCTTGCGTGATACAGCGCAGTCTATCTGTCTGTCTGGCCAGCTGGTTCAGCAATGCCCCATCATTGATATACGAGCTCGCAATCGATTTAATCATCTGCCAGCTTCTGGAAACACCTACTTATCGGCCGAAAGTTTCGTTGTCCCGAGGCAATCGTCGTGAGAGACCTGGACGCTAAATGTCATGAGGCGTAGCACGCGTCGTCAGATCCCGATATTTTTTAGAACATTTGACCACAAAAAAATACCAAACGCCGTCACTCCAAAAGAGTATCCTGTCACTGAACGTTCTGTAGAAAAACCTTGAATTCTAAAGCCAGTGACGCCGGGGGTCCTAAAACCACGAGCATGGCGTCCTCCTGCTGTCAGAGTCCCGGAGTCCTCAGCCAGCATCACAGAGTCCTCAGCCAGCGCCACGAGCTCTCAGCCAGCGTCTCGTAGTCCTCAGCCGGTGTTCCAGAGTCATCAACCAGCGACACGAAGTCCTCAGTCAGCGTCACAGAGTCCTCAGCCAGCGTCCCGAAGTCCTCAGTCGGCGTCTCGGAGTTCTCAGCCAGCGTCTGGAGTCCTCAGCCAGCGTCTCGGAGTCATTGCCCTCACAGAAACGACTCCCTGCGTGCGTCATCCGCGGGGGGCGAGGTGCTGGGCTCCGGCAGGCACTAGGTGGCCCAGTTCAGCCGGTAGTGTCCCGTGACCAAATTCGTCCCGCTGGGTGCCAGGGAGGTCAATATTAATCCACGCAGTCAGACCTCTGGCTCCTCTGTCTCCACCTCCATCGTGCTTCCATTGCCACTAATGCGTTGCCCTTTGACCCCGAATCCTCCCATCGTGACCTGACCGCCCGGCTGACCTTGCCCGAGGCGCACATAGGGGCTGGGTGACCGTCATTTGGCTCGATGCTGAATGGTCGATCCCCAGCGAGCGAAGGAACGACAACCAGCAGACATAAATGCACGTGTGCAATAGCATGAACAAGCTTCGGTCTCCTCGACATCAAAATTGCTGGCCGTTAACACGCTGAGTCCGGCAGTGTCACGTTCAGGGCCTGCCGACCCGCACCGTCACGTGACATGATTGCGCCCGTGGATGCGGGCTCGGACGGCGGGCAGATAGTAGCCGTTCATTGCCGACGTTAACAGTAAATAGCCCCGTTTAAGTGGACAATAAAGAGTAAGCCTTTATTATATGGCGGCCTTGAAGCTTGGTCAGATTGCTGAAGACTTAGAAAATAGTCGGAAGTGCTTTAAAAGATAGCGATATGGTATCATTATAATCCAAAATTGATACTGTCATGACCAAAAACGCGTCGATCGTGGGTCTGCTGGTACCTTTGGTTATATTTGAACCAATTACATTGCACCTAGGTGCGTGAAGGATACAATCGCTCGGCTAGAACCTGTGCTAGCCAAGCTGTCATATTTCAGGTAAGGTAATAATTTTTGTGAAAGCGTCACTTAGCTGCCAAAGTGGAGATTTGTAATGTTTCAGGTTTTCTCCATGTTAATGAATCATCGACTCACTAACGAGATTTGACCATTTTTAGAAAATTTTCTGGCCGTCGCTGCGGCCTATCTGGTAACATCCAAAATCCCTTGTAAACGTTTCTTCCAAAAGCGTGGACACCTGCTTGGTCATCGTGAATTAAACCGCACCGTTTGTGGTGGGTTTGATATGGCCACCATCGGCAGAACATGAAATGCAATAAAACGCAGAGCGTTGGCGTACCGCGGCTCAGGGTACCCTCCCGGGCTTTCATTTCGACCAGTTAACAAATTACAGTTCGAGTAGTGTCAAACTGCCAACCGGATATGCAGCAACATCTGCATAATCTATTTTACACAAAATGCTGATAAATCGCAAGCTTACGAAGGCACATGACGCTCAGGGTCCTTGATCTGATATTATGGAATGAGCAGGCTCCTATTGTTTGTGGTAGGGTACACTGAGAACCTTGCGATCCCTGACGCCAAATAAAAAACACCGCCAATGGCTCGTCTTAGGCGAAGAGATGTCACAGGGCCGGCCGAAAGCCGGCAAGACAACGCCTTCAGAATTCCCTCATGTAAGACATGGACTCGTCCAAACGATCATGACGTCAGTGGTTGAGTCGCACAGCCAATAAATGAGCTCTCAGAGCTTCCTAATACTGGGAAAAAATAATGACGGAAAAGCCGCTCTGGGACGATGCTAACAAGGGCATTTGGAATGCGGCGTGGCAAGTGTGCTCCTCGCGTTCCACGGAAGCACCAAGACGCTCCAGCACGCAAGACGCAGAACACAAAGCTCGCGCTGACGGGTGCGCATGCGCAGTTTGCACCGCTTCCGTTTCCATGTGGTATTGTCACCAACGCACAATGTGAACGCCAACAGCGCCGGCTGTAATAACCAGTCTTTAAACAACGTATGCAAACATGCAAAGCAACAGGTGGTGGTAGCTGATTATGCACCACAGTCGCGCTGCGCAGAATAGACTTTTTGCATTAGGTATACCCACGGCGATACATGATAACGCACGGCCACATTTCAAGACAGAGAATGGGCCACTCATTCCGTATAGGCATACCAATACCGGAAGTCTGCGCAATGAGAACTTCCCGGGGTTTGCTGGCGGTCGCTGTGCCGAATTTGAGCTTACACATGCAGCAAACGTCAGACGGCTTCTTTCAAAATCTGAGCTTAACTTCCTTCAGGATGTAGAAATTGAGCGCATTTATTCGCACACAGAAAATCAAACGTTTGTGGGTTGGCCTGTCCGTTAATCACGACACCTGGCAGAATGCGTGCCACTTTCAGCAAAGTCGTGAAAAGAAACATTACTCAGAGAAGGATCATCAGCGATAATTATCAATCACTTGACGTAGAAGACAATCTAGGCTTTGGTGATCTAAGCTACATTGGCTGGAAGATATTCCTTGAACGAAACAGATGTGGCAATGTAAGCCGCGTTGTTTGCGCAATGTTTCTTCCAGAGGTAAACAAAAAGCGTATGTCGAGTAAGTGACGTCAGGGTTACATTTCAACCTCGAAATACAGAAATGGCCAACTGCGGTGGGGCAGCGCACCGCCTTAAGCGTTTATTTACGCATCTAGCGTCCCAATGGGCTGCATCATCAAATCACTATCGCTTCCATTTGGAGCGAAAACGGACAGTGGTTGAGAACCCACGCACCAGAGGGCCTCAAACTCGCCGTGGCGTACCGTTTTCTTGGCGTTGTGCTGCGTGTGGACGCGTGAGGTGCCGCCGATGTTGGGAACCCCTGACACCCAGAGCCGCCAGACGATCAGCACGTACGTCACGCCCATGATGGCAATCGGAGCGAAGAACAGCGCCAGCGTCACCTGCCGCCGCACAGTGACACGCTCAGGGTCAAACGGTGGCCAAAACAGTCCGCCGCACGGTGACACATCTGGGTCAAACGGTGGTCAAAACAGTTCGCTGCACAGTGACACGCTCAGGGTCAAACGGTGGCCAAAACAGTCCGCCGCACAGTGACACGCTCGGCGTCAAACAGCGGCCAAAACAGTCCGCACGCTGCGTGCGCGAGCGGGCGCGTGCGCAGGATTTTCCTTGAGGGTTACCTAGAGGGTGGCCTCGAAGGCGCCCCCGATGAGAGCTCTTATACGTGGGCAGCTAGGGATCAGGAGCGGCACACCCACCTAATGCACGGCTATTCCTCTCTCGGGCTCTCTCGGGTTACGTTCAGGTGTGTTGTGGTGAGAAATGCAAAATAGGTCGTATTTCGAGCATTTTTAGTTGTTTTTATGACTGGGCCAATCATTACATATGGGCCCCTGTGTGTCAGCCGCTCGGATATGCTGCAGAGGAGAGCGCTTGTGTGTCAGCCGCTCGGATATGCTGCAGAGGGGAGCGTTCGTTCGGATATGGTGTAGAGGAGAGCGCTTGTGTCAGCCGCTCGGATATGCTGCAGAGGGGAGCGTTTGTGTGTCAGCCGCTCGGATATGCTGCAGAAAAGAGGCCTCACATAGAAAATAGTTGACGATAGTCGAATGACTCGCCTGGGAAGCCGATGGTGGGAATCGCAGTGAATTACTTGTGACAATAACATGCAGGGTTCGCAACCACAACGTAAGTAGCATTGAACGACCGCGAACACAGAGGAGTACCGCCCATCCGTTCCCAAAGCATGTTACCGCGATCCTCCATCCATCAGCATACGTTAGGTCGCAACAGTACGTTAATCAGAGAGCAGTGGCGTGTGAATGGGGTCCGGACAGCACCATGTTTTCGCTCTCGATAATCGAAGTACGGAGACTAGAATCTATTCGCATGCGAAAATTACGCGAGCATTGCTGGAGCGTATTCCCGCTTCATCACAATTCACGTGTCAAGGACGCCATAAAAACGATTGTTCCACCCATGGCCTGGTCGTTTCTAAGCATGGTAAAAAAACATCGCAGCACGCGGTCTACATACTCGGGTCATTACAAAAACATGGTCTACACACCCGCATCATTACCAAACATCACAACCAAGGCCTCGGGGGACATCTATTGGGAGGTGGTGTAGGCGCGGGCTGCCTGATGGCGATCTTACCATGGTGTAGTAGGCGTGCTTGTGCTTGTGTGTGCGCACACACTGTCCGGCAAGAGGATCAAAGACCCAGGCCACTGGCCAGGTATCCTGGCACGACACCTCCAGCATGTCCTTCCACTGGAAACGGCGTGACGTCAGCGGTAGGGAAGGCGGACCACGAGCCTCGGCACGCAGCCTCCGCCGGCGTGGTGCAGTCAAAACACAACACAGCTGGGAGCGGCGTGACGTCATCGATAGTGAAGATGGAACATACGACTCGGCAGGCGGCCTTCGCCGGCGTGATGCGGTCAAAACACAACACAGCTGGGAACGGCGTGACGTCATCGATAGTGAAGATGGAACATATTAATCGGCAAGCAGCCTTCGCCGGCGTTAATGCGGTCAGAACACCCAGCTGGAAAGAGTGATCAGCTGCGTCATTATCTGACACACTTCTCTAAAATTCATGGGCTTGTTTGCGGTGGGAAGATGGAGACGCTCATCCAATGCCTAACATTACCGCGGCTATTAATCACAAGCACTGTGCCACCTAGTAGGGTGATTCACCGCAATCCATTCCGAATTTAGCCTTAGATCTACCGTGGTGGCAGGGAAAATTGGACGATAAAAAGTTCACTCGCCCGAATTATCTGCCCGTGTCACCATCCTTACGATATCATACAAAACAGGTTGGCATAACCCTCGGATAAATACAAGATGCTTAAATATGTCAACGAAGTTCCATTCGAATTCGAGTTTTATTTTTTCGTTGAGTGACGGGCGTTTGTTACTCAGCTGCAGCCACTGCAGGTCAAAGTGTTTTGCGTACAACTATGAATCAAATGAGGGAAAGGCTCATTCGTAGTCAATATTACAACCTGGTGGTAAACCATAATTATGAATGTAAACACAGCCGGACGCCAAGCGCAACAATCAACAGTTTCCTACCAAGCTCTCGCCTGTCGCCAAGTACATCAAACTGCGCCCCCTCCCCGCCACCCCAAACCAGCCTCTCCGACGGAACACGTCAGCGACGAGGCATTGACAGAGCACGGCGACCGTGGGTTATATGGTACGACAGATCACAACCGTCACATGTCGACCAACCAAAACACACCATCAGCGGGAAACGGCGACAAAGAACACAACACAGCGCGAACCAAGGTTTTGTAGCCCTGTGCTTGCTCTTCGCAGGAGTCTTACAGCAGGCCGGCTGCGTGGGTATGAGTAAGCTTCACTGAACTCACGAGGCTAGCACATCTTGTGCAAGATCACGCACAATTTCACTCCATGCACAAACCCTTACTACATTTGGCGGCGTGAACACAAAATCCCGTTCGAAATCCCAGTGAAGCTGTGAGCACCGTTCACAAATCTCACTCATCTTTACAATTAGATCCAGGTCAATTTTTGTCAGGTGGGAGCGGATAAATCGCTCGCAATTAAATGAGTTCAAGTGGCATACCCAACACGCTAAGCCAGCTTACACAAAGCCTTGCTGCCGAGACCCAGCCAGCACAGTCGTCGCAAGACCTGGAGTACGTCCCTGCAGAGAAGCAGGGACAGCGCGCCTCTGTAGGGCAGTATAATCACTGGCCTGGACCAGAACGGTGCCTCTGCACACCAAAGCGGCGATGTGACCATCGGCCTGGACCTGGACCAAGTCCCTACCGAGCCGCCGTCATCATTGCCATGTCCCTGCAGCGTAATCATTGCCATGTCCCTGCAGCGTAACCATTGCCACGGCCCTGCAGCGTATCCTGTACAATATCCCTGTAGAGCATCCGCGTTGGCGTGCCCACTGACCTGGACCTCAATCAGGTCTCTGTAGACGACCATGCCACTGACCTGGACCTAGATCAGGTCTCTGTAGACGAGCACGTCCAATGACCTGGACCGCGATCAGGTCTCTGTAGACGAGCATGTCCACTGACCTGGACCTCGATATGGTCCCTGTAGACGAGCGTGTCCACCGACCTGGACCGCGATCAGGTCTCTGTAGACGAGCATGCCCACTGACCTGGACCTCGATATGGTCTCTGTAGACGAGCATGTCCACTGACCTAGACCTCCATCAGATCTCTGTAGACGAGCATGTCCACTGACCTGGACCTCGATATGGTCTGTGCAGACGAACATGTCCACTGACCTGGACCTCGATCAGGTCCTTGTAGACCAGCATCTCCACTGACCTGGACCTCGATCAGATCCATGTAGACGAGCATGCCACTGACCTGGACCTCGATCAGGTCTCCGTAGACGAGCATGTCCACTGACCTGAACCTCGATAAGGTCCCTGTAGACGAGCATGTCCACTGACCTGGACCTCGATCAGGTCCTTGTAAACGAGCATGCCCACTGACCTGGACATCGATCAGGCCTCTGAAGACGAGCATGCCAACTGACCTGGACCTCGATCAGGTCTCTGTAGACGAGCACGTCCAATGACCTGGGCCGCGATCAGGTCTCTGCAGATGAGCATGTCTACTGACCTGGACCTCGATCAGGTCCCCGTAGACGAGCATATTCACTGAATTGGACCTCGATCAGGTCCCTGTAGACGACTGACCTGGACCTCGATCAGGTCCCTGTAGACGACTCACCTGGACCTCGATCAGATCCCTGTAGACGAGCAGGGGCAGCGCCACGCCGGCCGAGACGGCCCAGATGAGCAGGATCACCGAGGAGGAGCGCTGAAGCCCCCGGAAGCGCAGCGAGCGCAGCGGAAACATGACGGCCGCGAACCGGTCACACGCGATCGCCGTCAGCGTCAGCACCGACGCCGTAGTGACGTCCTGCAACTCAAATCACACATACTCTCTCTCCGTCACAAGCGTCATCAGCCACCTACGCCTGTCAGTGACGTCACTTGCAAACTTCACAACTCTATGCTCCTGTCAGCTTCAGCACCTGACAGCCGTCTTGTACGTCACTTCAACGCACAAAACGTCGCCGTCAGCGTCTGCTCCGACTCCGTCATTGACTCCATGTTACGGCATACGCGATCGCCGTCCAGCGGTCAACAGCAGCAACCGACGCCCGTCAGTGACGTCACTGCAACGTCACACACGATCGCCGTCAGCGTCAGCGCCGACGCCGTGAGTGACGCCACTGTGACGGCATACGCGACAATGTCATAAACGCAAGTAACGTCAGCGTGAGCACCGACACTGTCAGTGACGTCACTGTAGCGGCGTACGTGATAACATCATAATCGAGTGACGTCACTGCAACGTCGCGCGCGATCTCCGTCATCGTCTCCACCGACGCTATCAGCGACGTCCCTGCAACGGCACCCAGATATGAAGCAGCGCGAGAGCCAGAGGTCACTGCAAGGACCCTACGACAAAGCAGCATTTGTTGCACAAGAACAACACATTCGCCGCATTCGATAGGTATCGGTACAGGAGATGACAAAAAACTGGAACAACATGAAATCATGGTAAGGTTACCAGAGACAAAGCCCAAGGCAGACCATTGCATTAAATGCCAAGAAAATGTCATTGGCGACTCGTTTCAATGTCAGCTGCACCAACAACTAACTGACACTGACACATGACACTAACAACGGACAGGTCATCGCACGGTCAATGTCGACGAGTCAGAGAAGCCCAAGCAATGTCACAGGAATACGGGGCAAGGTTAAGGTGAAAGCGTTTGACAGATCTCCGAGGTGATTGAAAGGTGGCGGGAGACCGGTGGAGATCGACCCCGTTAATGTTATATAATATGTGACCGCCATACAATTTATGCTACCGTCGTCAGCACTGCCGCATCTCACCGCCACGGAATCGTGGAAAATGAAGCGCTATTGTCGGTGCGTCTCCAGCCCTGGGCACGGCGGTCAAATTCCACTAACAGCCCTACAAAGTCCACGTAAGACGACTGGGGATGCAAGTCACCGTCCGCCCAACTGCCATCGGTGAGGTCACAACAAGGCCATGAAAGAAGTGGGCGTTTGTCTGTCACCAGCAGCGTCCCGTAGCCCTCTCAGGACATGGGACGTGCAGGTCCAGCCTAGGCGGAAACATTATCAAGACCACGTCAGGTCAACAGGAGCTGATATCTGATGACCGCATCATCATCGAAGAACTAACAACAGAGTCACCAAAGCTTCACCCCGACGCTGGGCACCAGCCGTTTTTACTTGCATCGTTGGCGGGGAGAGGGTAGTAGGGGGAACCGTCGCCATTCAGTTTCAAATTTTCCTGGATGAATAAAGCCATGATTCTGGATAGATTGGTCCGTACGAAACCTGGCGGCGCCTATCACCGCTTGATGATAATTAAGAGTATTAGAATAGTGATGTTGATGAAATGGTAGTGGTTAACGAATGGTGTACAAGACATCAGGCCAACAAATGGCCGCAGAGGCCCATCGAGGTATTACAGTGGCATTTGAGGGAAGGCCCATGTTAATTCTTGGGAGCACGACAAACTACACCTTGCCTGAGCATAGAGCTGAACTTAGAGCTTAACTGGTAAAGGGTGTTTAAATCCAGGTTTGGCGCAAAAATGGTCCAAAGTCAATCCACAGCCATGTGTCACCCTTGATCTTGGATCATCACGGGTCAGGTCATACTTGACCTCGGAGAGATTATTGACACTTTCGAAGTGATGTGTGAGTAGCACAATATCGTTACATACTGTTTACGGAGCTTAAGATGTCGTTCACCCCCCAAAAACAACCAGAAAACAGACAAAAACATCAGTCCCCGTAAAATGATTCCCCAAGCCCTCAGAGATGGTGTTAGAAGCTCGGTGATATGAGCTCGGTCGACACAGTCATGCAAAAAAGTGCGCCTTGAATGCTCCGAAAACTACGCCTATTTTCATGGCGCTGCCTCGTATCGTCTTTCCGTGGTCTCAACGCAGGGGCATTTGCCGACTGCCTAACAGGTGTTGGCGCACGTAGCGCCACCATCGGATACCTTGGAAACCACACATCACCGAGGGGTGGATGCTTGCTCATGGGTTTATATCTTGAAATATCTTTCACATCTTTCTTCGCGTGGTGCATATGTGCAATGCAGAGCTATTGCAAGACCCATGTGTGTTCTGCAGCGAACGAATTTCACCAATTCACGTTCCATTAAAACGGCGACAGCCTCTTAGCGCCCATCGAAGTTTATAAAAGAACGCCCGGTATGCGGACTTCCCTCTAGGTTATGCTGCGGAAATCTTACGCAAAAAGTGTATGTGTCAACTCAATGTGATAAGGCACAACGGCTTTGGCAAGAACAGCGCAAGAAGCAGGTTTAAACTTTCTGGTCTTCACTTGCCGGAGTACGCAGAAATGCAAACGAGCACGTTCCTCTGCCGTTCCAGACGGGATACAGGTACAGGCTATTGCAAGGATTTTTGACCATACGTGACCGCGAATAAACTGCGTATTCTTTGAAATGCGTCTAGGAAGGTTACAAAACCTAAGGATGCCTGCTAAGGCCAAAGATGTCAACTGCACTGGCAGAGTATTGTGTTGCATGGACATTGCACGAAAAACTGCATTTAAAAAGCCCATGAGTGCTAGGCAGCATGCCACCTTAAACTTACAGGCAGTTTTAATTGTGAGCTTCACACAGGGCATTTTACCCGATGCATAGCAAATGTCCGTCGTTTCACATTGACTAACCCCGAACAGTGTTACCATATGTGGTGACGTTACAGGCATGTTTCAGCACAACCCAGCGATGGTCACAACTAGCCCCCATACGAGGCAAGCGACCAGATGAGCGCCGTCAACAGCGGTACAGAGTTTTGCGCCGACAGACATATTTGGCATACACGAAAGCACCACCTCAGTTACAACGGACCACCTGCAGACGGATAAGTCTTGAAGGTACGCATCGTGCACATCACTCTCTGTTTGGAGCTCTGGGAGCAAGCGACAATAAGGAAAGAGACTTTGACACACTTCACCTAAATAAAAACATCGGGTGCTACAGCCATGCATTCTCATTTCAACAAATTGCAATTCAGCACTACGGTGGAAGGGCTGAAATGGGGCTAAATGAAGATCAAACGATTGTCTGCATTCATGGCGTTACCATCCTGCAGCCACTATCCTCGAGTGTTGATGTCGATCGATTCAAGCTGTAGGCCGGTTGGAGCGCCAGCTCGGGATCGCACATGTTTAATGCAAACATTGCCGATGTCGTGGAGCCCGCCCGCAGCCAGGCCATAAATCAGATCCCTTGTGCGATGCACAGGTCGCTCTCTCTTCACGATTAGAGCATCAGCACAGGAATGGTGATAGTTAAACGACGTCACACGCTGTATTTACTGAAGTTATACTTGTATTTACTTGTTGTTAATACTTGTTGGGAGCCCGCATATATATATATATATATATATATATATATATATATATATATATATATATACTCTCCCAATCTCCATTCCCTGCCTCGAATGTTATCTTCCCCGAAGGCCCTTTCACAAAGCGGGTTAAAAACGTGCATAATAGCGCTGAAAGCGCTTAGAGAACAGTCGAACCCATTGGATTTTCGAAAACCTGTTTATCGTCTCTTCTTCAATGAACTGCACGATGCTTCGCCGCTATAATCTTAATTAAAGTTTAAAAGTAGCGGAAACCTGCAAAATCAAGTGAGTTGTGGAACTGCTACCGACACCTCTCATCGCACGAACGTCCGAAAAATCAAAACTGACGCTCAAAGTATGTCTATAAGTTTTCAGGGTTAATACAATAGCTTACCAATATGTGACGTTAAGTGATCGAAGGAAGTAGTTCAGCGGCCTTCGCGAGCGACTGCAGTCTGGCCATCGATTCTCCCGCGTTGTCTGATTAACTTGTTGGAAGCTCCTGACGATTGATGGGACCGAAAAATATGTCTGCTATGGCACGGCTGAGAGGCTTTTTCAGTGACGATTAATGACCAATCGAACCCATCTGGCGGCTGATTGTTAGTATTGATCAAACCATCGCGATAAATCTGGGGGAAAGGTCACGCTATCCGCGTGATAACGGATGATCGCCGCAGCTTTTCCCGTTGTGTTTGCATAGACGGCTGACACGGTCGGACATCTGGGCGGGGGGCAGGGCCTTGAGAGCAAGAAAATAAATAAATGATCTTTTCCTATATTTAGTGCACAGGCATCGCATTTCCACGCCGACGCGAAATAGAGAACGAATGTCACGCATAACCGCTGTATCTATGTTCATTGTCATTCAAGGTAATCTTATTTACCTGGGAGCACGCAGCAATCACAGGAATCAGCCACGGGAATATCATTTCAAGGTCATCCACTATTAATTCGTTCAGCAGCATTGCCTGATTACTGAAACCAGAAGCATTGCCCCGACAAGCCAGGTAGTCTGTTTCCGAACAGGCTATGTTATGATGGCTGAGAAATAGCGTTAAATATTGACCCTGTTTGTTGCCAATTTCCCGCAGGAATAGCCTCAGTGGCCTCAGTTGCCTCAGTAGCCTCAGTTGAAGATCATCAATCAACATGCATATACATCTGATGAGCCAGTTATCTGCTGTCCCAGAGCAGGAAGACATGTGCGCAAAGCGGCCAGCCCGAGTAAGGTGAGCATCTCGATGGGGTGAGAAGACTGCTTCATTGACGAACTGTCCGTTCCGTAGTGGTACCGCGGCCGCTGCCGGTGCGCCGCCGAGAGGTGAACATCGTCAACTCTGGAGGAAAGAGGTGGACCTCATATCTGGTTTTATAACGGAGGCATAGTTTAACGCTCTTTTGGTTTGAAAACGTCATTTGTGAGATGACTGGCAAGGGAGAAAGGCGGGAGGTGTGTGTGTGTGTGTGTGTGTGACTGCGGCGTACGGCCTGCGTCATCTGAGACCTCCAGATGTACCCCCATTGAAACAGAACAGCACAGCAGGCTGGGTGCTTGGCGAGAGCTGCTACCAGGCCTCCAGACGTACCCCCGGAGAAACAGAGCAGCACAGCAGGCCGAGTGCTTGGCGAGAGCTGCTACCAGGTCTCCAGACGCACCCCCCGAGGAACAGAGGAGCACAGCAGTCGGAACCGCCGGTCGCAGGGCGACACCTGACGTCCCTGCTGACGTTCGCGACGTGCTCCCGGAGCGGCGTGGTGAACCGCTGCCAAGTTACACGATTAAACGGGGAACTTGGATCAGAGGGTGGATGATACTCTAGCTGGCGTAAACAGCGCGCGATCGGATCACATGGACGGCGAGT